AGCGTCTCTCTGGGTTTGGGTGTCTCTCAGCCTCTCTCTGGGTGTCTCTCAGTGTTACAGTGTGTTGCTGTGTCTCTCAGCCTCTCTCTGGGTGTCTCTCAGTGTTACAGTGTGTCTCTGTGTCTCTCAGTGTCTCTCTGGGTCTGTGTGTCTCTCAGTGTTACAGTGCGTCTCTCTCTCTCTGTCTGTCTGTCAGTATTACAGTTCGTCTGTCTCTCTCTGTCTGTCAGTGTTACAAGCTGTATCGAAGGCTGAAGTTGTCATTACTCACTGATCATGAAGGCAGAGACTGTTAGCAGCAGAGCAGCGATGAGGGCAGAGGTGCCCACGGACAGGCCCAGGGCTAGCTCAGAGAGATGGGGCTGGGTGTTCAGGGGGTGAATCTCTGTGGAGAGACAATCCAGCACATCCATCTACAGGGACACAGGCACCGACACAACCCCACTATACAACCCCAAGGACAAAGGGTATCTGGGAAAAAAGGCTTTTCTGAACATCCAGGTGCACAATGCCAGGAGTGCTCTAACACATGTCCCCACATTTCAAGAACATTAGATCATAAGAAAGGTTAGAAACAGGAGGAGCCATTTGACCAGTCTGGACTGTTTTTTAGTTAGTAGTTGAATGATGTCAATATCTCATCCAGCTGTTTCCTGCAAAAAGCCAGAGTATCATCTTCAACAACATGGCTGGGCAGCTTGTTCCACACTCCCACCACCCTTTGTGTAAAGAAATCTGGCTTTTGTGGCTTCTTTGAAAAACTGTAAAAATTGCAAAATAAGAACTTCCTCTCTAGACCCCATGCAGACAACCCCATAATGCCAACAATGTACAGGAAATCAGCAAGACTCATCAGGCTACAGACGGGCAGTGAAAGAATGTGGATTGTAAAAGCTGGAAATACAGGGAGTAGGTGCACAGCGTGTCGAGTTTTAAGGATTCACGATCCCTCTGGGGAGAGCCCCATGTGAGCCCCTGGAGTCAAGGGGAAAGACAGGGACTTTAGGTCAAAAACGAGGAAGGCTAAAAAGGATTTGCAAGACAGAGTTGAGAACGGGATCTGTTTAGGCGACCCTAAGCCAGCGTGGAAGAGGCTTAATGCAATGATGGGTAGAGGTGGGGAAACACGGAATGAGAATTGTGCTACTAGCTCACCCTTTGTGAATGATCTTTATTTTTATGGAAGATTTAACATGTTGATCCTACAGATAAATGTAAGGAGATAATTGAGGGGATTCCCAGAAGTTCACCTCTGCAGCTGAGTGACACAGGGGTGGTTAAGTGTCTCCCAGATTAAGCCACACACGGCACCTGGCCCAGATGGCTTGTGGGGAAAGGTGCAGATAATCGGCTTAGGGGAGTTCTAACTCACTGATTTCAGGCACTACTTGCTTCTTGAATTGTTCCGAATATGTGGAAAGTTTCGCCTATTGTACCTGTACCTCAAAACCTAAGGCCAAAGCACTAAGTGACTCTCGCCTGGTAACACTCACCGCCCTATAGGCTAGGAGTGTGGAGAGGGATGTTTGTAAATCTCAGTTGCAATTTATAAAGAACTACAAGGGACTGAATATGCAGCTTTGACTAGAGTGAATTTCATAGCTAGTCATGTACAATAGTCAAATGCACATATTTGATTTCTTTTTTTTTAATTTGATTTCTAATATGTTCCAGACCCACATGCTATTGGAACAGTTCTTGGGTTTGGAAGTTAACTTATAAGGTTTGTAAAATGCATAAGGGATTTTCCAACAGGTCACCCACAGTGTGTTCTTCTATACAATGGATTTTCAAAAGAAATTGTTTTAAATGCTGGTGTTCCCCAGGGCTGTGTTTTGTCACTTTGGTTAATTTCCATTTATATGCAGGCAAAGATAACGTAGAGAACTTCTGTAAATCTGTTAAAGCGCACGGGTGATAGAGACTTGTTGCACAAAGCTAAGGTATGCGTATACGTGATCTGACAACTGGAATTAATTTCCTGTCGTTAAACTCTGTTTATTTTTAAGCCTTCGTGGGATTATCTACTGGCAGTGATAGAGACTCACTTGGAACAGATACTGTCAACTGGAAAGGTGGTGTCAGTCAAGCATGTTGCATATTACTCTTGACTAAACCGCAGAACTACTTGGCTACTTGCGATATCAGTGCTGTACGTTAGATTTTCAACCTCTGTCTCTTATTAACCAGCCGGTGGAGGTTTTAAATACCTCGGGACAGTAATAGATGAACACTCAAACTTTGCGGAGACTACCAGTTGCGTTTTTAAGAAGGCTGGTCAGCTTATATTTGTGATCAGGAAGCTGAAAGGGTTTGTTGGTGAATAAAAATGTGTTAGAGAGGGTTTATATAAGGCTGGTAGAAAGCGTCCTTACATTTGATATCACTGTGTGGTATGGTAGGCTGAGTATTAAAAGTAAAGGGAATTGGATCAGAAGTTTGACTACTGCTAGGAGATATTGTAATATTATATATGTCAATATAAATACTAGTACAGAGATATACTGCAGTTCAAGGGAGAGCTCATCTTATCGTTGATGACCCCTCCAACACTCTTCATTCCCATTTCCAACAGCTGTCTTTGGGGATGTGTGTTAGAAAGCTTATGAGCAAGAAAAACGTACTGTATACAAGAAAGCCTTTGATTCCTGTGCAATCGGCAGATCAAACACAGCAAAGTGATTTCTCCCTATATGAAGCTATCGGATGGTTGTAATGATAGTGTAACAGGGGCAGAGTGAGATCTGGGTGCTGTATCTGTGCTATACAGTATGTATTGTAGTGTTGCTAGGGCTATTGCTTTTTTACATTTATTTTTTATGTGGAGTTGACTATTTTTCTGTAGTTTTGTTTGGTGAGGCCAAAGACAAAATTTCCCTCCTTTTGGAGGGACAATAAAATTATATAATCTTATCTTAAATCTGAGCTCTTCCCAGTGGTGACTCCACAGGCTCTGCATCAGCATCATTTAAAGCACATCTTGTGTTCGCTTAAAATGTGCTTTACAGCAAGGATGACTATAACTGAGATTTTATCAATTACAGCTAAAAATATTGGCATTCTCTAAACCTACAGCCCAATTACTGCATGCAGAACATTTCAACTACAGTACAGTGTGTGCTATTTACTCATTTGATCTTCTTCCTGGTTCCATGTAGCAGGAATGGGCCTGGAGCCTGAGACCTTGTGTGGGTGGTGTGGCTGCAGGTGTGATGTGTGTAAGTGTGTACGATGTGTGAAGGTTGTGTAGTGGCCTTGGTGGGGGTGGGGGGCTGAGGAGGATTATAAGATTGTAAACCTCTTCAGAGCCCACCATGAAACGCCACCAGGAGCACACAGGTGGAAACTGGCCGGCCATGTTGTTAAAGCCAATACCCTCATTTCTCTCAAGAAACAGCTGGCTGAGATCTTCCAGTAAAGCAGTCAGAAAACCTTGGATCCACTAACTAATAACTAATAGCAGCTATATCACCCTGCAACTCACAACCCACAACCAGCAGCCCACTGAAGCACAGCAGGTGTGAGCCTGGTCAGTACCTGGATGGGAGCTAAGGTTCCTGCTGGAAGAGGTGTTAGTGGGGCCAGCAGGGGGCGCTCACCCTGCAGTCTGT